GACAGTTAGGAACTTTTTCCTAATGTCCAACCTAGACCTCCCTTGCTGCAGTTTAAGCCCATTGCTTCTTGTTCTATCCTTAGAGGCTAAGGTGAACAAGTTTTCTCCCTCCTCCTTATGACACCCTTTTAGATACCTAAAAACTGCTATCATGAGTTACCACACACCTCATTTGGAACCAGAAGTACGCAATCAGGCAGCAGCAGAGAGACACACACACACACACAGCATTTTTCTTCTGCACAGTAAAGTTTCAAAGCTGTAGTAAGTCAATGTTGTACTTCTTTGAAAGAACAGTCATAATGTTTTGTTCAGGGTTAGGAACATTTCAGAGTTACAAACAAACTCCATTCCTGAGGTGTTTGTAACTCTGAGGTTCTCCTACAGTTTAGATGTGAAATTTATGGAAAGATTGAAAAAACCTCTCGGTCCTGCCATTTTAAAATTAGATGCATATTGTATACAGCATTTGATTCATTTTTCGCGTCCTTGAAATCAATGGTTGTATACCACTGTAAATAAAACCAGTGAGAGAAAGGCAGATCAGGCCCATAACAGCTCACTAATTTTATATGCTGTTTTTTGCATTTGTAATGTGAACGTTAATTAATTCATTTTAAAATTGCCAAACAATTAATTCATAATAAAGTCTTTTTGACATGTACAAAAGTGGTTGGGATGTTCAGATTTATAATTTTGTCAGTTAGGATATACTCAGAAAATTGTAATCTGCATAAAGGCTTTTATTGTAGACATGCAAAAACAAATTATTTAATTACATACAAACTTATATGGTCTCCAAAAGAGGTTCAATTCAGGTAAAGAATTATGACAATGGGCCACTAAAGAAGGCAGCCTTAATTCTAACTTTTGAGTGCTTCGCTTTTGCAAATGGAATGTTCTTTTAACATATATTTTTTATATAATTTCCTTTTTTTAAATTGAAAATTATAAACAAAAATTGCATCATGTAGAACTATACTGACCCCCCACAGAGCCACAGCACAATTCTCTGTCGCTTGAGGTAAGTAGGTAACTGCTTGCAGTAGAAGCCCGTTATCTTCTATGTGGGCCTAACAAAAGAGTAGGATGAGACCTGCTTTGCCAGTGGATTTCTGAGCTATTTACTAGACAGGAATAATAGGTTCAATTCCAGGTTCTAGAGGAGAGTGTTCTCTAGTGATTACAGACCATTCTGCCCTATCCTCTCCCCCAGCTTCTCCCTCTCCTCATCCCCATCCTTGTCCTTCACCCTGCCCCATCTTTCCCCTTCCTCCTGTCCCTGTCCCCTCCCTCTGCTGCTCCAGTCTCAGTCCCTGCTGAGTTCCCCCTGCCTGTTCCTATTTTCCCCACCTGTTTCTCATATGCCCCCATTCTCAGCCTCTGCTTCTCCCCTCCACCCTGCTCATATCCTTTGCAGTTCCTTCCCCTTCCCCCCTATTTTCCGGCTGCCTCTCCTGGCTCCAGTTCCTAACCCTTCTACCCCTTGAGCTTCAGCCCCTGTTCCCTAACCCTGCACCTCTTCCTATGTCCCATGTTGCTTCTCATACCCCTCTGCATTCCAGTCAGGCTGTTTCCTCCTCCTCCACCATGTTGCCTTGGTGAGCACTGAGAGTACAAGAAAGATGATTTCCCTGTTCTCGGTTCCTGTGCCTGGTGTCAGAGCAGTCCCCGGGTGCCTGGAACAGCAACCGCAGGAAGGCCCAGGTCAGCTATGCTCAGTGCAGATGGAGTCTTCAGAGAATTTAGCTGTCAAACTCTAACAAGTTTCTACTGAGCATGTGTGAACTGCAATATTTTCAGAGGCTGATAACTGATAAGACAGCTATAGCTTCTCAACAAAGTGGTAGTAAACTTTTTTTTTAACATGGGCGAAGCAACCTATTTTCCCCTAATCTCATTTTTGGAAACAGCTGAATCATTTTATCTGAAACTTTATAAAATAATCCAACAAATTATTGATAATAAATAAGTTCCAAATTGAGGCACACATCTTGGATAGAAAATTCCAACCTGAATTGTTTAAGTTTGGCAAAGTTATTAGCAACTGAAAACTGGTTCTTATAATGGAAAGTGGCACTACCTGTGCCACCTATAATACATTTTGAGACTAATTGTACCCTCTGTTAGTCCAGATTTATCATAACCTATTCCACTGGAGTTACACTAACTTCAGTGGAGTTATTTCGATTTATATTAGCGTAACAGGGAGCAGAATTTAGCCCTATGTTGGCTTTGTACAGTATATTAAGATTTTACATTGCTAGTAGCCAATTCTGCACTAGTTGCATGCCCAAATCTCCCTTTGGCTTTAATGGGAGTTTTGGGTGTGCAAGGAATACATATGAGACCCACATTGGAACAGATTTGAAAGAGCTAATCCAATAGGTTGAGTAAATAATATTTTCCCCTACCAGTTTTTTATTTTCTGGAAAATCCAAAACAGCAGCTACTGTTGTCTGTTATCGAAAATGTAGTTCATAATCTTGCTTGAGAGAATAAAATGTGCAGCCAGAAGACATGAACTAGAAGCAAAATGAGAAAGCAAGAATAATCAGGATCTCTAATGACAGACAATAGCTTATGAGAACCGGGAGAAGTATTTTAGCCATGTCATAGCATTGCAGAATTGATTTGGGTGCGTTTATAGCTTATTTAGTTGTTTTGTCTTCCACTGAAGCATTAGAATTGGCTACTCCTTATGCAGTCTTATGAGGATTGCAAAGCATATGTATCTGAATGATGGGGTACTTTTTTCATTAAGCTAATACAAATCAAAGAATTGTAATATAAAACCACCAGTGAAATGATCAAAACTGATAAGAGGCATGTGATGTATTGTCTGTTGTTCTTGCTGTTAAACTCCCCCACCCCACAGCACTAGGGAATGTGTGTCGGCTCCTCCTGCAAGCTCTGCAGCAGTGGTTCACTAATAAACATTATTCTTAGAGCTGGCCCATTCCTGCTGATAAAGATGTTGGGCAGACAGAGGGAAACAAAAGTACACAGATCTCCTGAGGTGCTTGAAACCTGTCCGGGGGGGAGGGAGGGAGGCAGAGATGCTTTGAATTTTTTCTTTCGTTTCTTTTTTTTATTACAAAGAAGATTGAATGTGGTTATAGAAAATTGTCACTTTGTTGACTAATCGATTCAGACACTGTCACTGCAGCTCAACCTGCTGCCAAACTCCCCCTTTAATTAAAAGGGCCAGACCCTCACATGGTGTAAATAGCATAGAATCATAGAATATCAGGGTTGGAAGGGACTTCTGGAGGTTATCTAGTCCAACCCCCTGCTCAAAGCAGGACCAATCCCCAACTAAATCATCCCAGCCAGAGCTTTGGAAAGTCTGGCTTTAAAAACCTCTAAGGAAGGAGAACAGGAGTACTTATGGCACCTTAGAGACTAACAAATTTATTAGAGCATAAGCTTTCGTGGGCTACAGCCCACTTCTAGCCCATCAAAGCTTATGCTCAAATAAATTTGTTAGTCTCTAAAGTGCCACAAGTACTCCTGTTCTTTTTGCGGATACAGACTAACATGGCTGCTATTCTGATCTCCGTTATATGACATCTGTACAACCCCACGGAAGTAAATGGGGCTGGGTGGATTTAACTGAGAGCTGGGCTGTGACCAAGGACTTTAAATAAAACCTCAGCCCTTAGGAAACAGTTGCAACTTAATGATGTAGAAATAGCCAGGAAGAATGAAGCCTTTGCTTGCGTCCTCCTACACTGAGATTTTCCCAGCCCAGAGTGGAGCAAAAGGGAACTCTTAGACACCTATCACCAATGCAATCCAGAGCAGCTGAATTCCATAAATTCTCTTAAAATAGAACAAATGGGACATGATGGAAAGGGATGTAGAGTTTCATCTGAAGGACCCAGAAGATATTTAAAAAAAACCAAACCCATGCGAGTGAAACACTACTCAAAAACGACAGATCTGAGAAGTAGTATTTTACCACTTTACTAAATCTACCAATACATGAATAACTTCAGCCGCGCTTCACTTAGGGTCAGATCCAGCAGAAATTCCCCTGTCTGGCTGCTGTCTTATGGAAGGTCCATGGGCTTCCAGAACATTGCCCTTCCCTCCCCACCCCAGCTGATGTAGAATGTTGTGTTAGCCATGCCACAGCACCCCTTCCCAGTGGCAGATTAGGATTGCTGCTATATAAAGCAATCTGATTGGGGAGTCAGGATTGAGGGAATGACATCAGAAGATTGCACAGATGAGACTCCGGGCAGTGTCCTACCCTCATGGCCTAATATGGGCCAGGGCTCTTGTCTGACTGGTTGAAATTCAACCAGCCAAGAGAGGTCTAAAGGTCCCTTGGATCAAAGACCGTGAGCTATACTCTGTTTTAACAGCTTCATTTTTAAGGTCAAGTAGGGAGAGCAATAGAACACAGATTTTCTTAAATAAAAATGCTAATCTGGGCCCTTTCCCATACAACACTACAGGAGGAGGCCCTCGCTAGCTAGTTAAAGAAAACCCTCAAGGGCAAAAGGATAGTCATATAGTTCCATCATTTCCTCCTTTTCCCTAGCTACTCCTACTTCACCAGGGTAATTGACATCTTCTCCACATCCCAGGATTGGGAGTTTAATGTTTGCAAGATGCAGGGAAGATGGGGAACATGTTCACAAGAACTATTCACGCTCTATCATTTTCATCTTATCTTCAGATGGTGCAAATCAGCAGCTTCAGTGGAGCTGTGTCCATTTAGACCAGCTAAATCTGGCCCAGACAGTATTTATATTCACCATACCCAGATACTAGAAATTCAACCTATTTTTCCCAATACATTTCTCTAGACAAGCTTACCATTTTGTTCAGTACAAAAGGAGTATCTGTTGTCCTGTTCGAAGTTGGAGGTTGTGCTGCACCAGAAGTGTCCATCCGAACGACCTTCCGTGGTGCAAGAATAGAAAGTCCTCCCACCATAGGTGAATGGCAGAACACATGGCTCCCCATTAGAATTGCCACCATAGGTTTGGGTCACAGCTTTAAACCAAGCAAAGCACAACATTACATTACGGCTCAGTGTCCCCACTCCAGTTCTTTGTGCCCTAAAGTAACCCTAGCTTCACTGGACCAGATCCTCAGGTGGTACAAATGGCACTGACTTCAATTGTCCCAGGCCAATTTTATACCAGCTGAAGATCTAGCCCTGTAACATCATCATTCAACCTACATCCTCCCCAAAAAACATACTGCTGCAACTTAGTTTGAATAAAGTTGCTAATTCTGCATCCCATGGCTTTATTCTCCCACTGCCGTAGGTATATAATAAAATGGGAGTTACTTCTGTCCTATAGAACCAGGCCCCAAATAATCAAAACCAGGAAGAAATTCTGATTCTTTCCTTTCCCTTCTCCAAGCCCCTTGCTGTTCCTCATTTTGCATGCTCTTCAGAGCACCTTTCTTATACATTCCCCAGGATCCTACTTTCTAGTGAGGGACAAAACTCCCCATGGGGTTTTCTCTCCCCTCAATGCACATAGGAGCCATGAAAATTCAGACACGTTATGAGTGTTGACCTAGGAGAGTGTCCTTATGTCTTTAGAAACTGGGCTTCACTACAAGTGAAAACAACAGCTGAAATTCTCTTAGTGCCTGATGCACTGAAGTCAGTGCGACTCTTTCCAACGACTTCAGTGGGCTTTGTATCAGGATCTTAGTTCAAAGGCTGCACCAAAGACACTTATGTAGTTAAAATCCTTTTGCATGTTTGTCCCAATCCCGCAAAGCACTGAAACACTGACTTCCATGGGACTACTCACATAGTTAAAGCGATGCACTTGCTCAGCGCTTTGCTGCACTGGGGCCTTGATTTGTCTAGGTGTGAGCATTAAAAGAAAAGCTCATACCTGTCTCCTGGCAGCTGACACCATTGCCCAGGCAAGTACAAAGCATCTGTTGGCTGCCCTGCGTCTTGAGCCACTGCATCCCAACAGAGTACACCACCCCACTGTCAGTAACACAGTGACCGTATGGCTGAGGCTGAGGCTGGGGCTGAGGCTGGTAAAGTGCAGTTCGTACATCTGTGAAGGTTGAGGATCCAGATCCTACGGTAGAAAGTGTTAGAAAGGAGGGAATAAGCAGCAGGCTTTAAATCCAAAAACAAGGAACAGAAAATCTAGGTTAAGTGCTATGATGTTAACATTTAACTTTCTTAGGCATAATTATCTGCAGATATTTTTATGAATCGCTTTCCGTTTTCATAACATTTGTTTGCTCTTCAATTAGTAAATTTCAACAGTAAAAAAAAAAAAAAAAAAAAAAAAAAAACTACTAGCCATGCTAATAATCCTCCCCAACCAGAGCGACTGCACAGCCAACAACTGTGACTAGAGCAGGTCAAAAAATGCCAGTTTTTCACAGGAAATTTTGGGGGGGGGGAAACCCCCAAAATTGTAAGATTTTTTTAAGTTTCCTATGAACATGTTTTGCTGTTGTGGATGACAAACTGAAATAAAAAATTGAAACCAATGAAGAAAGGAAAGGAGGAGGAAAAAATCCCAAACTGAAAAACTGGGTGGTTTGGTTTTTTCCCCCCAGTTTTTCCACCAAAAAACTGAAAAAAATCTCAAAAGAAACCAGTTTTTTCATGAATCGTCTATTTTGGGAAAATGCCGTTTTCCAACAAAAAATATTCTCAAAGGAAAATTTTCAACCAGCTTTAGTTAAGAGTAAGATGGAAAGAGACTCAGAGGCCTCTTCTGCACTTGGAAACTTTTGCTAAAAATTTCCCACTTTTCCTACCACCAGTTTAGCTCCACCTGCAACAGCCAATATGGGAGAAAAAGTATAGGCAAGGCTTTGACAACCATTGGAGTTTTAAAAGCACAGTATGGTTTAGACCTGCTCAGAGCTCTGCTTTAAGTGCTAGAGGTTTCCCGGAGTCTGTCTATACCAGCATTCCCATCATGGAGTGGAACTGGTGATAGCAAGAGTAGGAAATTATTAACACAAAACCTAGTATACCCACCCCAGGGGAAAAGCTAGATTTACACATTAAAAGCAGAACTAGGTCATTAAAAGGACAAAGAACCTACATTAAGATGGGCTTCAGAAGCTGAATATGTTGCTATAAACCTAGGACAGAGGACAGTGTATACCAGGAAACTAAACAAACACCATACCAAAAATCACAAAGGATCTGACATACAAAATACAATTTAATACACAAGTGCCTTGTTGACGTTTCTACATATTAAAGCTTGAGCATAAGTGGATGTGTTTATCTTGCCAGAAGAATAGTTTAACTTCTGACATCTACAAGATATTCAAGTTTAAATTCGGGACATTTAAAATAAGGCACCCTGTAGAAAGCCTATAGCTCAGTGGTTTGAGCATTAGCCTGCTAAACCCAGGGTTATAAACTCAATCCTTGAGGGGGCCATTTGGGGATTTAGTTGGGGATTGGTCCTGCTTTGAGCAGGGGGTTGGACTAGATGACCTCCTGAGGTCCCTTCCAACCCTGATATTCTATTTCAAAAATATTAACCCAAAGTGCCACATTTTCAAGATATAGCCTATATTTATAGGTCCATAAATCAGTGCATGCTATTTTTTTGGCACCTTTGAACATGCACATGTTCTAATCTGCATGTGCAAATCTCTTTTGTGCATGCAAACTGTGTGTAAATGAATTCGGTCATTTGCTCATGCACAAAAGATGATAATGTTTAGTCTCCTGTCAAATTTTGACCTTAAATATTGCACATCTTCCTCTCGCAAAACTCTTGTTAACTTTGACAAGATTTTTGCCTAAATCAGTGCTGTGTGATTCAGCACAAAATCTTTTGTGTGTGACTTGTACTGTTCAATGCCCCCACTTACCAATAAGATTTACCACTTACCAATGCCAGGAGTTTGCACAGATGAATGCCTTTCACATTTCCACTCGCCTCTGCCGTTACCAGTGCAGATGCACTGAAGCAGGTTTCCTCGGTTATCCTTCTTGCTCCAGGTATCTCCAATTCTGTATGAAGTCTTGGTATCCTGATCATTGCACCTATCTGCAGAGGAAAGGAAACATTTATAACAAAGGAAGCAAGGCTTAGTTTTTCCTATATTTAGCAGCATGCCCATCACAAAAGGAAAGATACTGGGTCTTTTGTTGATATTCCATGATTAATCTTCCACAGTACAGTTCGTCTTCCACTACCAAGCTCCATCACCCCTACCAAGGTAGCCATATGCTTTCAAGCCCTGACTCTATTGCAGAAAGGAACATGCTGGGAAGCCATTCTAAAACATTGGATGAAATCCTGGTCCCATGGAAGTCAATGGCAAAACTCCCATTGATTCCAATGGTAAAAGATTTCACCCAGTGATTTTAAACATTCTTTCGGATAGCACCTTTTTGCTCCCAGTGTGGACAAGGCAGAATGTGAAACCGACTCCTGGGTTACTGCCCGCTCTTGCTAATAGTTTTCAAAACCATTTTAAGCACCTTGTTCCTTGTGGGGAAAACCCTGCTAAGCTGAAACCCGTTTTAATGTTGTTTAATTCTAAACAGTTTCTGAGAATGGTCATTGCATGCTGTAGACAGGGCCCAGTTGAACCTCATGGGCCTATTTCACATGAAAGGAACTAAATCCTGTTTGATAGGCAATATCTTTGGGTCAAATTCTTCACCCAGAAATATGCAATATGAATCCTGTCTTTAAATAATCTACCACCCGTGATGAATTGAGCAAATAGGTTCAAATGATAGCATAATAAACTACGTCTAGCTGCACGCAGAGCCACATGGATTAACTCATTCTACTTCCATTCCAGCATTTTACCCTCACATGCAACGGCAACGCGATACAATGACTCACGTTTACTCATGGGTCAAAAACGCTTTCATCTACTCTATGAACAACTGTGGAATGAGGTACACACCACTTCAGATTGCCATTGAGCTAGGGTACATTGGGTCAAAAACTAACATGTGGCAAACACATTAACAAACCACAGAAGATAAAATGACACAGGGCTGTGTCTATACCAAGAAAGTGGTAAGTGGCTACAGGGCTGATAATGTATTTATATGTACACCTCTACCCCAATACAATGCGACCCGATATAACACGAATTCGGATATAACGCGGTAAAGCAGTGCTCCGGGGGGGCGGGGCTGCGCACTCGGGTGGATCAAAGCAAGTTCGATATAACGCGGTTTCACCTATAATGCAGTAAGTTTTGGCTCCAGAGGACAGCGTTATATCGAGGTAGAGGTGTATATGAAAATGTGGACATTTGCCCTCAGAAGATCAGGTGTCTCAGGATGGGCACCCAAGAATTTAGGCACCCAAATCACTAGTTACTTTGGAAAATCTTGGCCATAATACTTATATTTTATCCACACATCAGTACTTACACTACTACGTGGGCCACAACTATCATTTTATACTTAGACAATGTATTTATCTATGTGATTACATTTTGGAAGCAAAACCCATTATTGGGGGGAAAAAATGAATAGGTTGCAATTTGCTATAGCGTTCAACAATAGACTCCAGAACTGTGAGATGAAAGCAGGGAGCATTGATTATAGTAACTTCGAAGCTTGCACATAACATGTTCCCTTTCTGCTTTGTCCTTTCCCATTTGACAGTTAATTATTTCCCCCCCCCCCCATGTGTTTTCAAACAGAGTTGAAATGGTGAAGGCTGGTTTTGTTTCATAGCTTATTTCTTGACTACCTCTCTCCAGAACTTTGACTTTAATCCCAAACCTCTGAGTTTTAGTTCTTTACATTTCTACTGTTTATATTAGCAAAAAGCTATTAGCTTTATATCTCAAGGCAACTGGGCATGAGGCCATTTAAAGGCTACAGAGAAAGATTTCAAAACCCGCATAACAAAGGTACAAGAGACCTGGTCAAATTACCTTGGGGCAGATGTACAGCTGGTACAAACTGTCATAGCTCCACAATGGAGCTTGTTTTACAGTACAGTCATACTAAAAGAGAAGGTAATAAGCAGAAGTAACTTGTAAAGGCCCCCCATCTACATTTTATAGGCCAATCCAGTGGGATATTTTGCAACAATGTAGTTGTACTGGTGCGAAGTTGGAGTGGAAAAGTGATGTGCTAGTGTTAAAAGATCTTTGCACAATTGCAAAGTATTTACACTAAAGGTTCACACCATTACCAAAATCCTCAGTGTAGACAAAGCATTAGACTAAACAATCATTGGTTTGGCTTTCGGATGGACTAGACGATGTTAAAAAACGACAAACCCTGCATTTTTAGAGCTCTGCAGGAATTTTTGGATTTGTTAATAATACCAGAATCTCAAGGAAGATAAACTAGGGGACAATTTCCCTTTAAAAGCACCTTCTCTCTCCACGGGGGCAATTCTAGGCCAAACTGTGTAAGGTCTGTAACTCGGCACAATGCCATTGACTTCCTGCGGGATATGTGGAGTGTAAATCAGTGCATAATTTGATCCACTAGAGCCATTTAGCCTAGAGGAATATTTCCCCAAAAATGGCTGTATAAAGCACAGCATGGACCCAACAACATAGCTTTCTGTGCAGGTGATAAGTGGCTAACTCCACAATGTATCCACAAGGGGGTACGGGATTCCAGAACAGGATATGGCAAATGCCATTGGCAAATTTTTGCTTGTGACCCATTCTTATGTTACAGTTTGATCTGGTCACCCCATACAATTTGTTTTGGTGAAATCCAATATACCACCTACTTCTCCATGCAATATCAAGCACACCACACACTTGAAGGTGTCTTCCTTTTTCTTTGTCTTACTTTAAGTGTCTTAGCTGGCGCATTCTGGGCCCCAAAGAAAGGATAAGAAAAGACATCATTTTAGAACCTGAGCTTCAGCAGAATTAAGTGCACCTGTCATTCTGCGTAGCATTAGTACGTTGGCAAGAGAAATCGATACGTACTCCTGGAGGTACAGGTGATATGTCCATTGCCTTCGCCTAAGCAAGTGCAGTCCACCATCATCCAACCTTGGTAGGGCTTCTCCCAGGTCTCTCCAACGACATAGGATGTCCCGGCAGTGTTATCGTAGCATCTCTCAGCTGTGGGAATGGAGGAAGACAGGGTTTTCTCGTTTGTTTTAAATATTTCTAAAAGCCAGGGGTTCTCATCCTGGGGATGGCAACCCCTTGGGAGGCACAAACAGGTGTCAGGGGGTCATGACGTCCTTTGCCTTCCCATATTGGTAGATCGGAGGAGGCTGCCAGAAAAAAAAAAGTTCTAGACACTGCCACTGCACCAGGCTAAGTTAGAGCAGGCTGAAGGCCTGAATCAGTTCAAATTAGCATCCTTTGTTTTAATATAGGATTCTTTAATGACATCTGTTAAATACTTCTGAAGCCTGATCTCTCAAAGAAATATGCCAAAACCACTACATACCTAGAGGTTTGCAGGTCCATTCCCCTTTCCCGTTGCCCAGAC